AAAATGTAACCATTTGGACCCAGCTGTGGTCCCTGGAATGCTAATTCCAATATCTATAAAATTCAAGTGAAAGTTTGGATTTCTTTATTTGGAACTGAATCAGGCCCACAGTTTCACTTTCAATAAGTGTATATGAAAATCAATATGCTCTAATGTAGCTTACGCTATTTTTCAGTTTCCATCTGCTCCCTTCCATTGCCTCTTTTTGTGACTGACAGCATAATAATTGCTGTACCAATTAATGGCATTGCAATCCAACTGCATCATTACTGCAGAATAAATGTTTTGCTTTGTAGCAGTTTGCCCTAGCATGAAACTTCACTTTAGTTATCCCAATCAACTAACTGCAGGAAAGGAAAAGAAGCTTTTTCATCAACAGCTCAATAGGAGATACTGTATATTCAGTACAGAAATGTTGGCAGAATTTTAACCAGTATCATTTTATAAATAGGGTAACAGCAATCATTTATTTTCTGCCTTAAATGAAATTATCCTATTTGATGCAATAATAGCCATTTAACATGATTTGAGATTGTAGCAGGGTTTTTTAAGAACCATTTTCTCTACCTAGAATAAAATCTGAATTTTGTTTTTCTTTGCAACAGAAGCTTTTAAGAACATAAAAGCTTCCATCAGAAAAAAAAAAAGTAGTCATAATAATTTATTTTCTTGCATTTTTTATTTTCCCTAGTGGACTCTCAGTGCATAGCTGCAGTTGTTTTCTCCATTTTGTCCTGCATCTTTATCATAATGCTATCAAGAATGTTGGGTGTTGAAGCACCTCAAGGCTCCAATCCTCATCAAAATCATATCCTCAATACTATCCTTGGGCCTTCTCTTACATATTTTGACTGCTGTTGGAAAAGTCCTTAGAAGAATTAAATCTAAATTAATGGCTGGTTCTAGTTTTGTGGACTTCTCTGGTGAAGCGGCCACATTTATTGCCCAATGGGAATCATGTCAGAAAACAAAATGCAACCAGCCTTTTTGAACCTACATTTCATTCTCAATAAAGATTGCTTTTCTGTGCAACCCCTGATTTTCTTTTCTTACTCTTAGCTGAACTCATTGATTCCTAATAAAATTCTTTTTGACTAGCATGTTTTCTCAATAACATAACTTTTGTCCTCATAAATTCTCAGAGCACTCCTGCATACATATATAGAAAGCTTAATATTAATAAAGATATCCAATTGGCTTTAATTTAATGACTTCAGTTTTGTGGTCAGAATCTTGGGAATGGAAGTTTTATTTTCAAATATAGCAATTATTATCATAATCTAGAAATGTGAAATTGCATTAGAAGAACATTATTTTGTTTGTAAAGTCGTCTGTTCAGGGAGTTAGGAAGTCCCAGATGAAAACTTGCTGTGCAGCTGCAAAAAAATTGTTTCTGTATTTGACTTTCTAGAATGAGATACTTAACAGGCTCTACAGCAGCAGCTGAAACACAGGAACTTCTGGTCCTTTAAATTTTTAATTATTGTACTATAAAAATATGCATATATTTTAGATACTATGAGCCACTCGGTTTCAAAAGTGATCCTGCATCAAAAGAGTCAGTAGTCTGGTGGCAATATCACTGGCCTGAACTGGAGTATGTCTTACTCAGGTCATCATTTCCTAAACTAATTCTCAGACTGGCAACGAAGCCAGTCTGAAAAAATACCTTGCCATCTCTTGCCCTTTACTGTGCATGATTCCCAGCTATGCCAGATCAACAGATCAGAATCAACAGATTCATAGGGTTCTTTGCAAACCAAAGGGCTGCAGTTTGCAAAGGAGCCTCTGAGACAGCTGCAGGGTCACAGCTTAGAGACAGCCCAATGGGTGCAGAAGAGGAAGGGGACATTTTAAAGCTGATTTTCTGCTACAGAAAATGCCACATCAAACCGTGTCCAGAATGAGCGGGGCATTTGAGGTCGGGATTTGAACATCACAGATAAGCACTCTAACCAGAGAACATCAGATAAAAGAATCCGTTGAATTCTTGTTTTAGAAAGAAAAGTGTGACCCTGTCTTCTTTTCTAAAACAAGTGAACCAGGCCCCTGCCTTCTGAGTCAGATTCTGAATTCTAAATCCTAGAGAGAAACGTTTCCCAGTTCCTTTGCAGAAACAAGGTAGCTTTAAAAAGTACTTCTGGATCTTGCTTTTCTTTTTCAATTTGCTCAGTCCTGCAAGTTTTCTCTTAGAAACTGTGATCGATCTACTTATATAAATATCCATCAATCTGTTACTAGGTAACCATTAGGTCTTTCCTCTAGAGAATTGTTATAAATAAGTACCCTGTCTTGAAATAAGATCTTTACATATACTGCCTCTGTTTCCAACATAATTAAGATCAGGAAAAATCTAATTTTGGTCTAATTTGCCATGTTACATTAAATTATCCTTATGAACCATTCATACTTAATTGGCTTGGACTACGGCTTTGTTGCGTTCTCTCATCCTGAGAGTAAATCTGAATAAAGGTCAAAGTAGATTGAATAATATTTCTTTTTCAGGGTCCCGTCTAAGAAAGAAAAAATATATCTTTTTTTTCATCTTTTTTTTCAAGCCACAGGAAGAAAGCACCACCAACTCTTCTGATGTATTCAGGTCATGAATTGTGTAGTATTCAAATTCCTCTTGAACTGACTTCAGAAGAGCTGTGCAGAAGCGATTATCTAGTATTTTTGAAAACAGCTGTGGTACTGAAGAGCTGCAAAGTCCACAAACAGAATTCTCCTGCTTCTGTCTTACCTTTCAAAGACCCAAATATAACAGCAAATATTCCAGCAGAAGCTTAGAAAACTTTTTTTTCCTTCACTTCAAACTTTTTTAACTTAACAAGAACTTTTTGACAAGAGTTCTGTGGTGAACAAAACCCCAAATTTTGGAAATTTTCCCAGTGGAAATCCTGAAAACCATAGGCCTATTTGATTATTATCAGATAATTTAAGATATTACTGCATACCTGTACTGTATTACCACTGTATGATATTTTTACCCATAGCTTGTTCATTTCATTTAATCTGCCCTCTATTCTTTTTATTATTATTTTCGTATCATAATGTTGTACATTCTGCAAATATGTTCAATGAAAGTTTGGCCTGGATCAAACCCTGGTCTTAGACCTGTTTGCTCTTTTGAACATATATTTTATTAATCTTTTGGATCTAAGACAGTCTCCCATTATGAGGACATTCACAGCCAGGGAGGAAGTCACTTGTCCTCATTAACTACTTTGGTTACTGAATGGCTTAACTCAGTGTCACTGTTTGGCTGCAAATTTTCTTTTAAAGATGTGTAAGAGAAGCGCTAGCAGTTCTGTGCTCACCAGGACAAGAGGGATGTGGAACTTCTAGAGAGGGTCCAGCAGAGAGCAACAAAGATGGTTAAGGGAAGGGAACATCTCTCTACAAGGAGAGAGTGAGTGAGTTTGGCCTATTTTCTCTGGAGAAGAGAAGGTTGAGAGGGGATCTGATTAATAAGTACATAAAGGGTGAATGTAGGGAGGAAGGGGCCCAGCTCTTCTCAGTGGCAGCCGGTGAGAGGCCAAGGGGAAATGGGTGTAAGTTGAAACACAGGAAGTTCCATCTCCATATGAAGAAGAACTTTCCTGTGAGGGTGACAGAGCCCTGGAACAGGCTGCACAGGGAGGTTGTGGAGTCTCCTTCTCCGGAGGTCTTCCAAACCCACCTGGATGCCGCCCTGTCCCAACATGCTCGGGGTGTCCCTGCTGGAGCCAGAAGGTTGGACTAGGTGGTCTACAGAGGTCCCCTCAACCATTCTGTGATTCTGTAAAGCACACATGCAGGAAGTGGGAGCCTTGAATTTAATTTCCTATGTAACATTATTGCATTCAATTCAGTTTAAATATTTTAAGAGATGCCCTTAATACCCTGGCTAGAAATTAATTTAGGAGGGGCACTTTTCATTACTTTACCAAAACTGGGTAAGGAATTCAAAATTGCTCACTTCAGAGACAGTGCACATGTGTTTAGCAAGTGCTTCTAGTCCTGTTTTTGTTGCAGGCCCCAAGATTACCTTCTTTGGGTAAACTGAATTTTTTTCGTTAAGCAGACAGTAAGTTGTTAGAGGCAGACTTTTCTGAGTCCAACAGTAATGATAAAAGTTTGCTAAACTCAGTCAGCAGTATACTTAGTTCCAGTACTGTTAGGTCAGTTTAGCAAAGGGCTAGTTATTTTGAAATGTTTCAATGTGAAGTGAATTATTCAGCATAAGAGTATATGCTTTGTCAAAGCCATTCTTTAATTTACAGTCTGTGGCTGAAGGAAAGCTATTATTTTCTATGCCTACATTCAATATGCATATTGAAGACATTTCAAAAAACATTATCCAAAACTATTTTAATTCCAGGCTTCAGTATACCAAAATTTCCAAAATTGGAAAATATGTTCTGGATGAAGATACATAGTTTGGAAATTAGAGCAGGCAGTCTTCATCAGTCTTCATCAGTCTTAGCTACTAATGAAATCTCTAACTTTAAAAGGTATTTTGAGAAGGGGGAGCAATCATAATGGGGAATCATGATATGAGCCATGTTCTAAGCTTGCTCACCAGCTTATTTTGATTTTTCACAATCATTTCTCATCTCCCCAACTGTGAACAAACAAGCTACAATTATGTGAAACTCACTAGGACTTCTGAGGAAAGATCACAGATGTACATCTTTGCAATCAATATTCTTACACACAGAGTTGATTTTGAAATGACTGTGCTGTGTTTACCTGACAAAAGCTAACATCCTACTTTCTGGTGACACGTGAAATTATATTTGTGTTACTAAACCCTCTGAAACGACAGGCATTACTTCTGTAAGTTAATTAGGGCTTTAGGTAAAAGAGATGCACAATTTCTCATCATTGAGATTTAAAAGATATCAAATATAAATGTGATATTCTGAATTTTTTTAAAAAAATCTGAGTCTGAATTATTTTTATGTTGGGTTCGGATAGTTTCTGTCTGAGGCATCTGTGTTCCGGTTGTGCTTCAGGTGCTGGCAAAAAGCCTCATTTTCAGTCCGAGAGGAGCCCAGGATGGTAGGTCTGCTCTTTGTGCATCAGATTCAATGAAAATTGAATATAGGGATCACTTAGGGAAATAGGGATCACTTAGGCAAACTGGCCACTCAAAAATCTATGGGCCCAGATGGGATGCACCCRAGAGTGCYGAGSGAAYTGGCCGAGGTTATTGCTCAGCCTCTCTCCATCATCCTTGAGAGGTCCTGGAGAGCAGGGGAGGTGCCCGAGGACTGGAAGAGAGCCAAAGTCACTCCAGTCTTCAAAAAGGGCAAGAGGGAGGAGCCGGGCAATTACAGGCCGGTCAGCCTCACCTCTGTCCCTGGAAAGGTGATGGAGCGGTTCATCCTAGAGAGAATCTCCAGGCATATGAAGGAGAAGAAGGTGTTGAGGAGCAGTCAGCATGGATTCACCAAGGGRAAGTCATTTCTGACGAACCTCATAGCCTTCTATGATGGGATGACAGGCTGGCTGGACGAGGTGAGAGCCGTGGATGTTGTCTACCTTGACTTCAGCAAGGCTTTTGACATCGTCTCCCATAATGTCCTCATATGGAAGCTCTGGGAGAGTGGACTAGATGAGTGCACGGYGMGGTRGRTCGAGGGCTGGCTGGATGGCAGAGCTCAGAGGGTGGTGATAAATGGGGCCAAGTCCAGTTGGAGGCCTGTGGCCAGTGGTGTCCCCCAGGGGTCAATACTGGGCCCGGTGCCCAGTTCATCAGTTTGTTCATCAATGATCTGGACGAGGGCACTGAGTGCCCCCTGAGTAAGTTTGCAGATGACACCAAGCTGGGTGGAGTGGCCGACACTGTGGCTGTGCTGGCCATTCAGGAGGGCTCTGCTGCCATTCAGAGGGATCTGGACAGGCTGATGAGTTGGGCAGAGAGGAACCTCATGAGATTCAATGAGGACAAGTGCAGGGTCCTGCACCTGGGGAGGAATAACCCCAGGCACCAGTACAGATCAGGGGTCGACCTGCTGGAGAGCAGCTCTGCAGAGAGGGACCTGGGAGTCCTGGTTGACACCATGTTAACCATGAGTCAGCAGTGTGCCCTCGTGGCCAAGAAGGCCRATGGGATCCTGGCCTGCATCAGGAGGAGTGTTGCCAGCAGGTCAAGGGAGGTGATTCTGCCCCTCTMCTCAGCTCTGGTGAGGCCGCACCTGGAGTACTGTGTGCAGTTCTGGGCTCCCCAGTAGAAGAGGGCCGTGCAGCTTCTCRAGAGGGTCCAGAGAAGAGCAACTAGGATGATTAAGGGAATGGAACATCTCTCGTACGAGGAGAGACTGAGTGAGCTGGGCCTGTTTTCTCTGGAGAAGAGAAGGCTGAGAGGGGATATGATTAACATGTATAAGTTCAGGAAGGGAGAATGCAGGGAGGAAGGGGACAAGCTGTTTTCATTGGTGGCCAGCGATAGGACGAGGGGTAATGGCCATAAGCTGGAGCACAGGAAGTTCCATCTCCAGGTGAGGAGGAACTTCTTTMCTGTKAGGGTGACAGAGCCCTGGAAGAGGCTGCCCAGGAAGGCTGTGGAGTCTCCTTCTCTGGAGGTCTTCAAAATCCGCCTGGATGCTACCCTGTGCCACATGCTCTAGGTTTGCCTGCTTGAGCGGGAAGGTTGGACTAGATGACCTCTAGAGGTCCCTTCCAACCTGAATATTCTGTGATTCTGTGAAATGGAGAGCGGAGTGACTGCTCGTGCTGGTGGTGCTCTGTGCACAGCAGCCAGCCACCCCGTAGGTGGATGGGTGGTGGTGCTGGTACAGCAGGAGATGCCTTCCTCACAGCCTTAGAGGTTGGTCATCCCCATCCATGGGAACAGAGGCAGCAAAATCCTAATCACTCAGCCAGAGCCCAGTGCTGCTGACCAACTAAATTAAGGAAGCCGAGTTATGGTAAAATATTATAATGGATTCATTATTCTTCCTGCCCCTCCAGGTCACAGTCTCGGTCCAGGGAAGGTGTCTCGGGCACAGACATTTCCCAGCTACCCCTCGGAGCAGGGCGAGGAGCACCAGCAGTCCCTGGCACTGGCCGGCAGCTACGGATTCAGCTACAGCTCAGGCCTCATCCAATGACACCCGGAGAGCCACCGGCCGAGAGAGACAGTTGAGCCTGGAGCCTGCCACCAGGGTCAGGAAGCAACGTGTGCCCTCCGCTCCCGCAATTTGCAGCGAAAACTGAGTCCTGCCAGCTGCAGCCTGGTCCCAGCAAAGGTTGAACCCTGAAGAGGCAGCTTCCCTGAAGCAGAGGCTAAGTCGTTATTTATTTATTTTATCTTTCCTTTTGTTAATATGTTTAAGAAAGGAGGGGAGGGTGGGAGGGGGGAAGCATTTGTGTTGTAAGAAAGTGGTTGAAACAAATGAAACTGTAGTGGTGTGAAGGTTTCTGCATGACAGGAGAAGGCCCGCTCTGGGCTCTATCATGGTGACACATTTTGACATYAGGGTCTTCCTACCCATCTCCATTGTCAGGTCAGTTCATCTTCACTGATAATATTTTTAGGTCATTGTTGCAGCCCACTGTTTCCAGCTGGACTTGCTGAAAATGCTGCCAGTTAAATAAACCGCATAGATAATGTAGATGCTACCCTTAGAATCAAGTAAAGTTGATTATTGGAGGGTCAAGTATTACTTGACTCTGACTCCAATAAATCCTGCAGTAGCAGGCGAATACTTAGTTATTTGTTGAGAATAGAATTTGGTGCATTAAGAGAAAGTTGCTCCCTACTATGTGTCTAACCTTAAATTCCCAAGGCAGGAATTCCTGCCCTTACCAGTATGCACATAACTCCCATGAATACCTCTAAGAGCAGTGAATGCACATGTAAGCAGCAAAGTAGAGCCCTTAGAACTGCCAAGATGTCTTCACATTTGCAAATTATTTAAATAATCACACCTGCAAGCATAACTTTAAAGAGCAGGAACGCTGTTTTCCAAACAAATTACTGTGGGCTGCATTCCTGACTGGCAATCTCGTATTGTATGTTGTGGGCCAGACATGGTGCAGAAGCAGAGCTCTGGTCTTGTCTTTCTGGTAAGTGTTACTTTGATTTTCTCTATTTCTTTCTCAGATTTCTGTTTTAGATGCACAGTGTGTATTGTATGATCATGAATCAGGTATCAGTTTGCGCTGAGAAGGATGAATACCTCTCAATGGAAATTTTCTTTCTTCAGAAGACGTCTTTATAAAATGAATTGTAGAAGGTGTGTTTGTAATCAGTAAGGAGGGAATAAGTTGGAAGGTGTACCTGTAGTCAGGGAACAAGTTTAGCCATCCTAAATATTTAGATTTTTGTAAGTGGCATTAAATATTTATGTACTTCTTGCAATGTCCTAGAACATTTGAAATGGAAAAGAAAAAATCTGCTGTCTGGCTGCGATATGTGCAGCTCTTGCATTCTGTTCCCAGTACAAAACTCTGCCATGATCACCAGAGGAATTCTTCTCATTAGCTGTTCCTCAGGACAGGTTGAGGAAACATGTCAAGGAGGAGATAYCTGGACTGTTTTCCAAGTAAACAATCACTTTTACCTATTCTAATTTAACTGAAAAAATGTTGTTGGGATGTTTTATATGTACAAGCACATATACATATATATAAAAGTACAGAAGAAACTTCTGCTTTTGATTAAACATTTACTGATACAGTATGTCCAACTTTTCTCCAAACATTTTACAGGCAAACAGAGCTTTCCAATGTAAAGATTTCCACACTCAGTGAACAGCTGCTGAATAAAAAAGCTTTGCAATCCATTTGAATGAAACAATTGCTCCCCACCACAACCAACTTTATTTTTGCTCTCCTTTCCTGTCTCATTCTCCTCTTCTTCTCACACTGCTGCCACACTCAGGAATAGAACGGCTCCCTACAGAGAAAATTTTGATGAGCTAACACAATAATGAAAAACTTCTCCCACGCTCTCAGGGAGCTGTCCCTATGGTGCTCTCTGAGCTGTACCCATCAAGGAAGCTTCATTCACACTTTCATTTATGAAAAAAAATAATGTGGTTGACATTTTGCTTTGGGAAATTTTCCAGTTTGCAAATGTTGCATGCAAAGAGTGATACAAAAGGATAGATACTCAGCTGCTATAGTTTTATTATTCAGTGGAGCTTTGCCAAATATATGCCTTTTGAGGAACTGGCCAGTTATTTCTATTTCTATGCAACTGTGATCATTTTCCTTGCCCTAAAGACATGCATTTTGTTTAAAATGCCTTGGAATAAGTTTCCAACGTGTTCTGCAGGTTTCAGTGTTCTATTGGTACTTTTTTTGAGTGATTCAAATACTGTTCATTTAATGTTTATATATTCTCAATGGCCCCAAAGCAGGAAAAAGAAAATTTGAAGATTATCAGAACTGCTTTCTGGATTCAGTGCCCATAAACTTTAAAAATATCTAAATTCTAAAACCTTGTCTTCCTATATAGTGTATGACTAATGTTTAGTTAATGAACATGTAGGTAATGTGTCCAGAAAAAGAAAAGGAACTGGCTTTCTGGAGGAACTTTACTAAATATTGTGGGTTTGCCACATTATGCAATTGTGTATTTGTAAAGATTTGTGAAGTGCCATCTTGGAGCTACAGTTAGAAAACTGAATTTCAGGACAAAGCCAGAGAACTGAGCCAATAAAAAGCAAAATTGACTTTTCAGGAACATGTTTTCTTTCAGACAGTAAACATAGCTGTGCTGAAAGTTCACTTCACTGTATGCAACTTCCCCGTGTCCCATAACACAGTCACATAAAACTGGGCACCTGAAGCACCAAGACACTCAGTGGCAGGTGGAGTTTGCTGCTTGAGCCACTCCAGAACAGCAGACGATACCACTGCAAAATTTGTGCATTTGTATCACTTCCAGAAATGTTCCTCAGGAAAGTTCCTTGAGAGGCTGGCAGGCACCAGGCCAATAGTTTGCCAGAAATTTCTGTTTTCATGGGATTACTTTAATAACTGACATATGCCTGTCAATAATGTAAGTGACTCCCCACTGAGACAACTTTGTCCAGCTCCTAGTGGTTCTGCCAGAAGGAAACTCTCTTTTGGCATCCGTGGTAGAGCTGCCTGCCTAGAGACTACCAGGGGCTTTAAAGCGGTCTGAGGACCCCATGCGTCCCTGTTCAAGTCTCGGCTTTCTTCTTGTGCAAGACAGATAGTACACCCACTCCTGACCCAAGAAGAGCTCTCTGTTTTCAGCGAATGTGCTGTGAAGAGCAGGAGGGCAACCAAATGTCTTCAGTGATGACCAGGTGCAACCAGTGGAAACAAAAGTTTGCATTAATGCATTAAAAGATGGTAAAATTAACATTGAACCATTGCCTTCACTCAAGTTCTAAGAAATAGTGCAATGAATATATCTATAACCACGTTTTAAATCTGTAACCATGATTTTAATTTTCAAAACATATAAATTTTCAAAACATATAAATTCTTATAAAAAATAATGGGCTGCATTACTAAATTATGTTACTAATACCTCTTATTTGTGAGTATTATCGATTGATGCAGGCTGGTACTTTTGATTTTGAAGTCATTTGGCACAGAAAAGGGGAAATTGAAGGAGACAAGTAATAAATCATAACTACAATGCTAAGATAATTGAGTAGCCCACCTCTTAAACCAGCTACAATGTATGTACAGTGTAATAGTTTAAATCATCTGTGAGTATATATTCCTGTGGAACAAATTTACCACCTATGTTAAAGCAAAGAGAAGGTCTTGTCTCATTGTGATTGCAGTCTTACTGACTGTCTATTTAGGCTGTACTCTTTCTGGTGGGCTCTGACTCCAGCATCCCATGAGTATCTATTCTGAACAAAACTCTGTTGTGGTTCTGTTCTAAACAAAACTCTGTTGTGGGTATTTTTTTCCCAAATCCACCATGGAAAGCATGGAATTGCACTGGCAAACCAAGTAAATTTGTTAGACTAGCTGTCCTCTTTTGCTCTGTCAAAAGTCTGCAATTGCATTTTGGAAGATTTTTTATTTAACAACATAAGGATAGAAATAATACTGGGAATCTACACATGTCTAAGCAAGTCTTGTTATAAGCTGATGAGACTTTTGCAGGGGGAAGAGATAAAACRAGGTCAAAAATCTTTTTAAATGTTCTCTATAGCAATAATTTAAATAATTTAAATGACTACAAGCACCATGTATTTAGAAATTGTTACAAGGAGGCAGCCTGTGAAGACCCTTACTGRTTCACAGTAAAAATAAAAAAACAGTATTAATCAGACCTCTGAATGGCATTTGTCTGAAATGGTATAGACTTCATGCTTGCTCAGTTCTTGCTCGCCAGTGTAAAAGATTCTACCACAAAGGACAGTGATTTTTCATATATTAGAGTACTAGGAACTGACAAAGACCTCCTCGCATATAAACCTCTAGTCAGATTTAGCTCACCAGACACAATTTCTAGTTTTCAGCTGGTAACCTAGAAACTACAGGGTGTTTTTCCATGTCAAAATGTAGGTCTTTTGACTTGCTGTCTTTTTTAACATGAAATCTAGCATTGCCTATATGCAGCAGTTTCTTCCTATAAAGAAAGGAGGAAGATAATCCCATTCATCTCTTTTTCAATTTTTAATGTCAATGTATTTAGCCACTTTTTATACCTGCTGCAAAGGTATAAATGTGGCTTTTATCCATGTACGGAATAAAGCAGAGGAAATACAGAAAGCTGCTGTCTGGTTACGGGAATAGATCTGTCAGCACTGAGAAGTTTCCTGTTTCATACATCATCCCAATTATTTGTGACTCTTTCCAGAATAACTTATTACACTGCAAGTATATATTAATACCTTTTTTATCATACATGACTGCTGGGGTGCCTCCCTATGTTTTGTTGGTAGAAGAATACCCCGTTGCGATATCACTGCATCAATATAGCTCTAAAATTGAAGGGTTTAAGGTTTGATATATTAATTTGTAGATGCAACATCATCTGTGTATAAGACAGTAAAAGGCAATACAGGAAGATGATGTGTTTTCAGACATTGTTTGCATGGTGTTATGCTTAGACCCCAGTTCACCTGTGGATTCTGAAGATTAGAATCCACAGAAAAACTGGATATATCCAAGAAAATGGAAGTGTCATTATACAAAGAA